TTTGTGTAAGAATGATCGGGACTGCCTCTTGGTAAGAGCCTTATTATCCTTGATTACACAGGACGTACCTCTAGCTGTTCTTTATTGAATAATTCTCATTAGAAGTACTAAGTGTTCATGATCACATGTCTAATTTGTAGAAAAAATGTTTTAGTTTCAGAGATTATAAAATTAGTTTAGAATATCCTACATCTACTATCGTCTCAAATAGGTCCAAGTAAATGAGTCATACCAAATACTCAGGCTATTAGAGCCATCAAAGTGAATATTGGAAAAAGAACTTGTATTAAATTATTTTAAATACAAATAAAAACCAATGTGTTACCTCGTTTGTTCTTGATATTTTAGACTGACCGGAGGCCGTATTTCTACAGCCGTCGGAAAATTTGTAAATCGTAAAGGCGACGATGCATCCAAATCTCATGTGCGGAAATATTTTTCTCGGGTTTGCGACGCCAGATTCGGTGTGGGGAGAAGAGGCGAGAGTTCTTTAGCGGAGTGTGATTGCGTAATGTATCTGCAAAGTCTTTAGCGATGCCCCAGAGGGGAAGGGACATGCCGGCCTCGATCAAGAGACAGTGAACGAGATTGTTTAGTGTCTCGTGTTGTCGTTCGACTGTGGAGTTCACTTAAACATGTACATATATCGAAAGAAATAGTACACATGATATAAATATAATTCTGGAAAGTTTTACGTGAAGTCAATAAGGCCGAACATCTCAGGGACATCAATAAGACCGAACATCTCAGGTGACGTCAATAAGACCAAACACCTCAGGTGAAGTCAATAAGATCGAAAATCTCAGGTGACGTCAATAAAACTGAACTTCCGCAGGTGACGTTAATAGGACCGAACATCTAGTTAAATCTAGAGAAAATAAACACAAGTAAGTTTTCACGTGACTAAATAAGTTTCACCAACAAGCATCAAATAAACCGTCACGATCACAGAAAGGAACGTAACAAGCTACCTCACAACACAGCACGGTGAACACTTCCCACGGAAGTGCAGCAAAGCGTGATTACGACAAAAGTATGTATATATAAATTAATTATTATTTTTTGACAAAAATGCAAAAACAAGAGGAGTGAAGCGCTTATTCGCACCGAATATAGCACGTCTTTAATAGTAACCTGTGCACAGATAACTCAAGTTGCCATCAGCAACCAGAGCAGGAGTGCATGGTGGTGAAGGGGGTGATGATAACGCAAGTGGTGCGGGTGACAGCCCAGCAGTGGGGCTAAACCCAGGTAGGGGCATGTAGCCAGCAAACACCTAGTGGGGTACCTACACAGGTATCAGCAATGCGCCTAGAAATAGAAAAAAGACATTTGTCAAGACTTTGTCCTGGTTAGTAGGTTTGTAGCCAAATTGGAACAAACAGCACCAGTAGCCATCGCGAGTCTACACAAGATGAGAGTAGGCATTCACGACCAGCAACCAGAACGTCGCATGCCGCTAGTAGACTCAGAACTCAGTTTTAGACAGATATAACCTGAGTAGAAGTAAGTTTCTTTCACCCTCTTCAGAGGAGTTATATTTGTGTTCTTATATTCTTAGTGGCGGGATCACTGTTTAATCATAATGGGTGTCATACGTATAATAGGTGTCAAATGTATAATAGGTGTCATATTTTCTGTGACACTTGCTGACAGTCCGGGGTACCGAACTGCCCGTATTTTTTACTTGTGTTTTTGTCTTGTCCTAACACTTCCCTGGTATCCATATACTGATCCAGTCGAGAATACAATCTCTAATATTTACTTGTGCACAGTAATGTTCTCCCCTGGATTGTTTCTTTACTGAGTTGTGGGGATGATAGTAAAATCATAATCCCTAGGTGATGCTCTCCTCTGGAATTTTCTCTACTGAGCTGTGGGGATGATGTTGAGCATTTCCGAGGTATGTTTCGAGTGTGTGGGTCTTGCGGTATTCTTAGTAAGAATATTGGCTTGATTGTCACAAGAGCTAAAGCATAGTCAGCATCAATCACCCCCATTCCCTGAAGCTGCTTGATGTGATGAACCCTGGTATCAACGTGTTTGAGGTGTTTTGTTGGACTAGTGGACTCTATCGCATGCAAGGCTGACTTGCTGTCGCAATATAGAATAGTAGAAGCTGTCTGTGGAGAGCCGAGTTCATCAAGGAGGTGCGTATCCACTGAATGTGTTTAGCGGTTCCCGAGGCGGCATTGTATTCTGATTCGGCAGTACTTGTGGATAAGACTGGCTATCGGTGTGATTTCCATACGACGGGAATTTTGTTAATATGTAGGACGTATCCAGTGGTTGATCGGCGTGTATCAGGGCATGCGGCATAATCGGCGTCGCAGATGCCATCAGCGATAAGTGGTCCTTGCTGGTTTGCTGGTAGTGATACGCCAGGCGGAGGTTGGGCATAGATTTAAGGTACGGTAGAATACGTAGCGCGTCAGACGGATTCGCCATATATTTTGCCAGTGTGTTGAGAGTATATGTGATATCTATGCGAGCGAGTATTGACAAGTATTGTACTGTCCCGATTAATTCACGGTATGCGTATACAAAGTTCGGGCCGGTGTTTTTGCTGATTGGTTGTTGAGTTGCTGGAATAGGTGCTGGGTGACATTCCTAAAGCCATTGTGGTTCTCCTAGGTCTTTGCAACTGAATTTGTTTTCAATGAGTTGTTTGAATGTCTGAACGTCTGCTGCTGTTTGTCCACAAACAATGAGATCGTCGACATAGAGCAATACAACGCACTTGAGCTCGTATGTGTCGGCGATGAAGAGGCAGGGATCAGATTTTGCTTCCTTAAATCCTATAGTGAGTTACTGTAAAAGCATCATCAGGTAGATCGTCCGGATGAATGAGGTCGTAGGTACCGGTCTTTTTAAGACTTGCTAGTTCCCGCTCCATAGACGCCCGCCATAATTCTGCATTGGCCCCTTATAGTGCTGCACGTATGGTAGTAGGAGTGAGTGAATTCTCTTGGACGGCAGTACAGACACTATAGATCTTGCGGACTGTGGCTGTGTACATTACCTGTTGCCTGTTGTGCTCCCCGTCCAATAGTGTTGACTTTGCTGGTATTTGGGTCTTGATGTGGATGGGGAGATCGTGGACTGTGTATTCGGCTGTGCTGTCAGGGTCATGGATGTAGATAGCACTGGTGGCGCGCAGGCTAGTCATCAGCTTGTTAGTACTTGTCTTGGCGTGTTGGTGAGCCGCGCGTCTGAACTGGTTTTCTGCTTTGTTTTGTTTGTGTGCTCGCTTAAGATGTGTCGATCACGTATGCTGAGTTCTTTTGTAGTAAGGTCTAATGTTGGCAAATTACGCCTATCTTGTCCGATGTTGTCAATATCAAGTGCCCAAGTGACATGTTTTGTGCGAGGTTGGTTGCCCAAACTGGCGATGGATGATACCGCTGGTACTGCTGCTGTGGCCTGTGACTCCCCGTGCTTCCTGGAACATCTGTCGTTGGCGGCGATACGGTATGATTCTGATTGGTTGTTGTATTAGGCGAGTCTGTGGAGACTTTGCCAAATTGATTAGTTGCGTTGTATGTTTTCATCTGCTTTGCACGTGTGTGTGTCATGCGCATGTTCCCTGGTAGTGTAGGTTTGTTGAGATTCCCGGTATCACTACGCGGGGAAAGGAGTAGGCCTTTTAGCGCGCGAGATGTTAGATGCTTCGCAATATGTGTGCTTAGCTCATCATTGATAGTAGACTCAATAGTGGGCTCGCTCGGTGTTGCTTTGTCCAGACTAGGGACAGTTGCTTTGTCATAAACAATGCTGGGTGTGGGCACTGAGATATGCTTTGCGAATTTGTTGGCGTAGCGGCGTTTGTTTATTGCGTAGTGTCTTGCGTTGTGGTTGCGTTCGGTTGCGTGATGGGGTCAGTAGAAGGTATGGCACCGTCATGGGAACTGGTGTTACTGTCTTCTAGGTGAGTTCGCGGATTGTGGGAACATCCTCGACTTTGGTTGCAAATGTTGGGACCGGTGTGTTGCCTACCATGAGCCAAGTCAAGAATACTAAGTAGTTGAATTTAACGTCCCTTGAATAGCAGATTCTCCCAGATTTGAGGTTGAGTATGCGACACTCATCATAGTATTTAGAGGTATCGTCGTGGCCCAGGTATACACCGATGAGCGCCCTGTCGTCCAATTTCAAGTGTTTCGGTTTCTCTCCGTAGAACAACTCTCATGATGTTGCGACTTATGACTACATATTGTGCTGCTTCCGCCCACACACACTCGGGTTGGTTGCTGTCGTTCAGAAGGCTGTTGACTGTGTTAATGATAATGCTGTTTGTCCTTTCCACGAGACCGTTCAATGCGGGTGAATTGGTGGGGTGTATGAGTAATTTTAATATGGTGTTGAGTATTAACCTTGTTGAACTCGGCAGAAATGAATTAACCGCCTCGATCACATTTAAGCTCTGTTAATTTTGCAAGCTTTGCTTTGCCTACTTTAGCATAGAATTGGTCCAGTGTAGCGGTGGCATCATCTTTGTGTTTGAGGGTAAAGAGGAAGATCATGTCGCAGTTGGCATCTACGTATTTGATAATTGATATGTAGCCATTTGGTGTTACGGGAAATCCTATCGAGAGGTCAACGTGGGATACGGTTCCTATTGGTGAATATGTGTTTGAATGTTTAGCTTTGTCTGATATTGGACGGCGTCGCATTTTGCCTTTTACACAAGGAGTGCAGAAGGTGAGGTTGTTTGGGTGCGCTACTACATTGGCTTCCTTGAATAGTAAGTCATCCGTGGGAGGCACTGCATGCTTGGGGTTGCCTATACGTGCGATGCATATGTATCGCCATTAGGTGGGCCGACTGGCTTTGTGCCGTTCTTGAGGAAATTATTTGCTATTGTGCGAATGATTTCCACATGGGAATGCAGTTGGAGTAGAGTTTGCTTGTAGTTGCGTGTACCTGGTCTGAGTGGGAAGACCACAGTCATCAGATCGTTCTCTCGTTCCAACTTTAGAAGGGCTTCGCGCCAAGTCTACTTCCTGAATGGGATGTTACCGTATAGGTGCTTGCCGAGGTCGCCATGATTGTTTGAAAGCATCAACAAGTCGTGCGTCCGGCTCTAGACTGCAATATACAGGTTCTTGATGGTTGTTGGCGGATGCAAAGATGTCTATATCGACATCACCAAATATATACAGTACGTGTGCTTGATATAGACCAGGATTTAGTTTGTAATTATCGAGATCTGGTGTGGGTGGGTTAGGAATAGAGATATTATTTTTGAGTAGTATTGTTTTCGAAACATAAGAATGTGCATGTCCTAGCTTTATATGCCATTCATCCAGTGATTTACGAGCAATGTTGCCAATGCAATATTGGCCACTGATAAGTGTACACGATGTATGATTTGGTTGTTGTAAATAATATGACATTCTTTGGCTATGTTTATATCGGTTTCCGGCGGGAAATAGATACCGTAACCGTTTTGTTGTAGAAGCTGTACATAGAGTATATTCTGTGTAGCTTGAGGCATGTTAAGCACTGAGCCTAAACCCGGAAGCATACCCCGTTCATGTAGAGTAACTTGTGTCCTGTCGGGGAATTCTACTATGAAATCCCCTTGTTCTATGTCAATGATTGACTCCCGTTGTTGTGCTGCGGATGTGAACCATGGCACCGGAATCAATAAGGGATGCTGTAAGGTGTTGGGCTGTGGGTCCCTCCGGAGTAGTGTTTACTATACTTATCCGGTAATGACATTCGGGTGGTGGTGTGGAGTCTTGGTGTGGAGTATCTGTGATTGAGCTAAGTACAATATGATCACCACCGTGTTGTCGGACCCCGTGGTTTCACTTGAAGCATGCTTGGTCATTATGACCTTCCATATTGTTGCATTTTCGGCATTTGAGCGTTTTGCGGTCGACAGTACATTTGATGCCCATGTGATCTTTCGATCCACACTTGCGACAAATTGAATTTGGACAGCTGAAAAGTAAATGCTCATTAGTGTTACAAAGGGGACAGTAGCGTTCGCGTTTGGTACGGTTGCCGATGCCACCACTGGTACCATTTCCATTGCCCAATTGTGTTTTGACTGAGTTGATACCGGAGGGGGTAGGGGTGGACATGAATTGATGGTCACCCTCGAATTTCAGAGTTTGCTGGTAAACATCCTCGAGGGTGAGCTTGTGTGTGTCGGTTACAAAAATCCCGGAGCGGAGAAGGTCATAATTGTCGCCGAGACTGTATGGTAAAGCACATATGAGGTACTTGTCGGGGATGACTTCGCCAACATCGAGTAGTCCCTGTCGTATAGGTTCCAGGGCTTACATGTTTGACTCAGTAATACTAATGGCAGTGAAGTTAGTGAGTTTCTTCATTTTTGCCCAGAATCGTCAGTGGAATCCGGTGTTGTTCGTGATACAGATGTATTCGAAGAATTCCCATGGTGCTTTAGATAGGTGGTTCTTGTATACAGTTGTGATGAGCTTGTCGTCAATAGAGTCGATCATGATTCTTCGACACTTCGAATCGGCAAGAATGTCGCTGCAGCTGCCAACTGTAGAGTCGGAACACTTGTGATGGAGACGATGAATCACGCCGAAGTGTTCGAGATCTAGTTTGAGACCAATAAACCATGCACCAAAGTTTTCATAGTTCACTAGTTTGCCGCGTCAATAGCTGTCTTTGTATTTAGGGCAGTCTGAGGCGGAATAGCCCGGTGCTTCGGGGCTATAACCGTATTGGTCGGCGTAACTATCATACTTGCGTGTCTGTTTGACGTTTTGTTTTATAGTATCGTGCGCGGTTTGGAGTTCGATGCGAAGTTCGTCTATCTCAGCTCGCATTGCAGCTAGATTGGAAGTGGAGCAATTATCGAGATGTCTTTGGTGTCTTTGAGGAGGGTGTCGCCACGTAATATTTTGTGGTCATTACCAAGGTCGATGTTGTGTCTTTTGTAGCTGTCTATCTCAGTCTGAAGATCTGAGTTGAATTTCTTGGTGGATTGTGCGTTGTTCTTTGCAATGGTGAGGTGTGTTAAGGTTCGAGTTGTGGATCCAAACAATTGATCGGCTGGTATGCGTAGTTGCTGGATACAAGTAGAGATGGCCTGTAGATGTTGGATGGCGGCTGACACGTTGTGGTATTTGGGACAGTCAGGGAAGAATTCGTCACGAAATCGATTGGCTTCGTCGACGGTCTCAAAGGCAGTTGGCCATGTACGATTGGCTTCGTCGACAGTCTCAAAGGCAGTTGGCCATGTACGATTGACTTCGTCGACGGTCTTAAAAAGCAGTTGGCCATGTGATATATTCCATTCTAGCTATGGTTTCGTGTGATGGAGGTTTGCTTGTCGATGTATACTTACGTGTGTGGTGTGTGTGAAGTGTGTGTGAATATTTAGTTACGTGTGCTCGATGAAGTGGAGCTGCGAAACTTGAGGGCAACGGTAGAAGTAATGTTGTGGTTTATAGTATCTTGCGCGTATCTTGCTTGTAGCTTGTTTAGTACTCTTACACGATTACGTCCATTCGAGGCCCACAACCTGCTAGACAAATATAACCTGAGTAGAAGTATTTTTTTTTCACCCTCTTCAGAGGGGCTGTATTTGTGTTCTACCGCCTTACATTCTTATTGGCGGGATCACTGCTTAATCACAAAGGGTGTCATACTTACAATAGGTGTCATATGTATAATAGGTGTCATATTTTTGGTGACACTTGCTGGCAGTCCAGGGTACCGAACTACCCATATTTGAGAGTTGTAGTATGTGTATTTGTTTGTCGTAACCCTCAGGAAGAGATACGGCCAAGCTATTAATGAGTTTGGTGACGATGAAGAGAAAGAAGTAATCCTAATCAATCAGTACATTAGTGAGCTAGAGATCATGAGTTCACGCTCAGGTGATAAAGTTAATGAACCTGCACTATCTCAACTACTATAGACCTCAGAATTTCTGAAGTTACCAAGAGACAGTTGCTTCAAAATGGTGAATTGTGGAAGACATTATACAGTTTACTACGCAATGCCGAGATGTATTCTTAGCCAAGTGTATGCCACTGTGTCAGTATCCTGCACTGGTGAGATATCTATAAGGTTGTATCCATTGGCGCAACAGAAAAGACCAAAGGTGTACTCAATGAGATACGTGACTCAGAAACACAGATCACAAAGCACTACACTAATCCAGAGCAATTTAATAGGTTTCTTATTGATAGACACAGTCATCACCCTGTATACTGTTAGAGAAGTATCTTACTAACATGGAGAAAAAGGCACTGGACGTAGGGGTGCGCACAGAGCGATTGCATAGAACAATGCAATTGTAAAAGGAGCGCTACCGAAACATGGACAAGAAGCCATTACATACGAAAATCCTCAAGAAAGCGAGATACAAAGCACTCATGTACTATGGACAGCAAGAGAAGGTAGACGCGATCATTAAAGCAGAAAAACTCACTCCTCAGTGATGAAACATGGTGTGTTCTACTATCTTACTGAAGCATCTATAAAAGCAGCAGCCAAACAACAGGCAGACCGTATATACAGAGAGTGCAAGAGATACAACTCTAACACGGCCACTCATAGCCAAACTCCGAACGCTACTATAGTTGCTCCCAAGCGTCACAAACCAGACAATGACACACCAAGACAGACCTATTCAGCGGGACAACCCCCAAGAGAAGAAAGGGGCACGCGAATTACGTGCATAATCTTATTGTAAGGTACCACCAAGCCCACATCGATTTAGCCTATGTTCCATGAAGGCATAAAGACAGAACAAGAAGGCTGAGGAGCGTGCCAAGAACAATGTGAAAGTAACCAGAATATCCATTAACCCAGGAAAGGTAAAGGAGATAACAGATAGCGACGAGTCCTGAAACAACTGGTGGGAGGAAGCAATTATGATAGACGTGGCTGACAGGCTAAATGTAAATATATATGAAGAAACGTTGTTAATAAATGGAAACGATATAAATTACTAACCTTTATCCTTGCTTCCCGCACCACAAGACCAAAGACTACACATTGATATACAAATTAATGGCAATACATATAATGCTCTAATAAACTCTACGGTGCACAACGGCTTATGCATGGACATGAGTATAGAAACTCAACTATATCTATGAGTAAGAGCGCAACCAAGCTACATACAACTAGCACAAACAGAAGCGAGTATACAAAGAACAGGGTCAACCCAAGTATGTGACATTAATTATAGAGGGATGAAAACCTCTCAATGGTTTGAAGTGCTGGACTTACCAGACAAGAAGGCATCAATCACGAACTGCCTTACGGTGTTATCCTTATGTAAGACCTCTAATGTAAGGACTATGTCATCGACACACACTTGCATTCTTTTGATGTCTATGAGCAAATTTACTATGACTCTTTGCAATTGTGCTGTGAGGGAGTTTAGGTCAAATGACGCTGACTTGAATGAGCATTGCGCTCCTCACCACGAGAACGTGAAGAAGTGTTGGCTTGCTTCGTCTACTAGGAAGTGATGGAACCCTCCCGTGAGATCTAGCTTGGGAGAAGAATTCTGCTCCTTGTAGTTTGTGTACTACTTTCTTTATTTTTTGGT